GTGTGAGCAGCACCCGCCTGCGCCGGGTCCGCCCCGGGGCGGAGCGCAGCTCCCCCGCTCCGGCCGCTCGGGGCAGGGCCGTGCCGGGGGCTCACAGGACAGCGGTGACGGCACTTTTTGGAGCAAAGTTTCAACCGGGCTCTGCCACCTCACATCTGATCTCTGGCTTGTCCTAATAACTGCCCTTAATCCCTTAATGATAAGGAAACCGCAAGGCTGACTGGGCGTGGGTGCTCAAGAGGCAGATCCTGGGTTTGCCCCGTGGGAGCTCGCAGTTCTTGCACAAGAGGACTTTCCATTCCTGCGATTCCATCACCAGCCAAGACACCCGTGCTGTGGAAAAACAACTGGAGAGTGAGCAGTCACGCAACAGGAAAACACACATTGACTCACTGCTATAAACCAAACCCACACTGGTCCTATCTTCACAAGATTCAACCACCCTTCCCAACACCCATCCCTTCAAGATTCCCAGCCCTTCATTTTGCTTCAGGAATGTTTTGGTGATGCTGGTGTACATATATTTCGCCTTACACAACAATAAGGCAGAGCTGGAGCCTTTCCTCCTGAAGGAAAAGCAACCCATGGAGGGTAGTTGCAGGCTGCAGCTACGTGGCAGCTCTAAGCCCTCTGCCGGGACAGCTAAAAATACCAGTGGCATGTGTCAAATACAGATTTATGGCTTGCAGTGACACTACCTGGCTCTAGGACATTCATATTAGACATCAGACATTTCAGTCTGCATTAACACCAGCCTAACACTTAATAATACCTGCTGTTGCCACTGGTACAGAACGCTGGAAGGAAACAACGTTCCTTCCAAAGTTCTGTCCTTTCTTGGAAGCCAAGGACAAGGCAAAAGACTATAACAGTGAAAAATCCCTTCAACAATATCTCCATCCCTAATCATGAAATATCCCAACTTGGAAGGGACCCACAAGGATCATCAAGTCCAACTCCTGAGCCCCGGAATCTTTTATTAGACACTGTTTTAAAAATATATATATATATAGTATTTATTTAAAAGTTGCAGTCACTTCATCCTAGAGCAGCTTTTCAAACACTTCTGCTACAGGCACTGTACAGGTGTTTATGCATTTGCAGACACAGCTGCTTGTGCAGTAAGACAGAACCATTAGTTGTTCCAGGGCAGAAGGGCCCAGCCCTCACCGTTGGAGGACAGCAGTTCCATCAGGCCCATGCTCAGGAGCTGGTGGCAGTTCTACACATGCCAGCAGGATACAATGCAAAGTCCTCTTCCAGATATTTGTATTCCAAATTTTATCTTTTTTTTTTTTCAACTCTGTTTCCAATGTCCTTGAAAGAGGAACAAGGCTGGTAACACCTTCAGCTATGATAAGGTTGAGGAGCCAACCACTGAGGCCTGTTCTGAGACCACGACTGAGCGTTACTGTGCTGGGGATGAGTCCATGTCCTGTCCCACTCAGGGGCTTCAGAGCCACGAAACACGACCATCTCAGCTTCCATTCCTTCAGGCTCGTTTCTGTGCTCGCTCATTCTGTTCAAAATTAAAGTTGAGAAGGTGACTGAAGATGTCCCTGTCTCAGGGTCACACAGAAGGGACTTCAGGGAGCAATGGGACAATTTAATAATCTTTTCTTCCCCAGTTCTCAAACATTCCTAGTCTAGAACTCTAAATCATAATTTTTTGAGGATAGACATTTATCAGGAGTTCTCAAATGAGAGAGCAGAACACTTGCCCAAATCATGCAGCACAAGGTCTATTATGGATTCCTAGTCCACCCATCTGGCACAGTAAATGCTACCCTGCTTTTGTCTGAAAGCTCTCAACCTTCCCATTGGTGTATAAAGAAGGGCCTGCAGATAATGCTTTCCTGGTTTGGGATACCCAACTCTAGTCAGCATAGCTGTACAGTACAGTCCTAAACTCTGTAATGACGAAAAGTTGAATCTCTGCTTTTCATTTGCAGTACACTGGGTAGCTGCCAAAATCCCAGCTCCAGAGGTAAACAGAAAGGCAGAATAGAAAAAAACCACCACAAATCATAGAGTTGTTTTGGTTGGAAAAGACCCTTGAGACAATTGAGTCCAAGCATTAACCCAGCACTGCCAAACCTACCACCATGTCTCCAAGTCTACATGTCTTTTAAATCCCTCCAGGGATGC